CCCCCCCCCCCCCCCCCCCCCCCGCACCGCTCCTCCGCCCGCCGACGCTCCTCCGCCTCCTTCTCCCGCCGCTTTTGCTCCTCGCGCTGCAGCTCTAGTTCCTGCAGCTTCTGCCGCTCCAGCTGCCGGCGCCGGATGGAGGCATCGCTCAGGTGCTTGGTGGAGTCAAATGAGACCTGGGGGCGGGGCCGGGGTCGTCACTCACATGGGTACATGTCCACGGGGCGCGCAGCTGCCAGTCATCCTTGAGACCTGCCCAAGGTGCTGCCAAACAGTCTCAGGAACCGCCCACAAGCCCACAAGCCCCACAGTTGTCAATCAATCATCCTCCGTTCCCACCCACAGGGCACACGGCTGTCAATCATCGTCTGAAATTGCCCATGGGGCACACAGCTGTAAATCACACTCCATTCCCACCCATAGGGTACACAGCTGCCAAGCATCCTCCAGACCTGACCACAGGACACACAGCTGCCAATCATCCACAGAAACAGCCCACAAAGCACACAGCTGTCAATCAGTCTAGACATGCCCACAGGGCACACAGCCATCAATCACCCACCATTCATGCCCACAGGGTTACCAGCTGTCAATCATGCTCCATTCCTGCCCACAAAGCAAACGCTGCCAATCATCCTAGAGACTGCACCCACAGGGCACCTGGCTGTCAATCATTCTCCAGAGCCCGCCCACGGGGCATCCGGCTGTCAATTCTTCAGAACCACCCACAAGGCACACGGCTGTCAATCATCCTTTGGCCCCGCCCACAGGGCAATCATCCTGCAGACTCCGCCCCATGACATCACCCTGGCCCTGCCACCCCGAAGACGTCACCTTGATGGCGCAGGCCACCGCCTTGCCGTCGCCGCCCTTGAACATGAGCTTCATGCCTCGCAGAGCTGCCATGGCACGCGCGAAGCCCGCGTACTCGCGGTACTGAACGTAGGCCTCGAAGTGCAGTTGCCCGCCAAAGCCGAACGTGTGGAAGCCGCGCCCCGTGTCCTCGCGGTACGGGTCCAGCATCGGGATGTCCACGCGCCGGATGTCGCCAAACGCGCCAAATGCCTGCCGCAGCAGCGCCTCGCTGGGCCGCTCTGCCATCATCGCCCCACTGCTGGTGGAAGTGGTGGCAGAAGCAGCGCCAGAAGCGGAAGACGCGGGACCGGTAGTGGCATCGTCAGCAGAGGCGTCACTGCCCCCGCTGCCGCCCCGGGGCGCGAACCAGCGGCAAGGCAACCCCTCGAGGTGGATGGTGTCGGGCCGCTCGCCTGGCCGCGCCTCGTCCATGTCCGCGGCGTCGCGAAAAAAGGCATCCCAGTCATGGCGTGATGGGAAGTCCGGGCGGAACTCGGCAGCGCGCACGCGCAGCGCATCTGGGAAGCCGCCCAGCTTGAGGGCACGGCCATCCAGCGCTGCCAGGCATGGGCGCAGCAGCGCGCGGCGCTCCAGCTCGCCCTCGAAGCGCACGGAGTCCAGTGTGCTCTTGGCGATGCGCAGCGCAGAGAACTGTGCTGCCGGCTGCTGTGGTGCATGCGGCTGCCCCGCCTGCGCCACCATGGCCTTCAGCCGCTCCATCACCTCCCAGTTCGAGATCGACTTTCCTGGTGGTCGCAGAGGTGGCAGCGCCACACTGATCGTCAGCTTTGTGATTGGCTTCAGGTATAGCCCGAGCGCAGGGCACAGCGCCACTGCCTCCGACGTGTCGTGCACGATGGTGGCCGCCGCCATGTCTGCGGGGACATATGCGCTACCTGTGTCAGTCTAACCACCCCCACTCCCGACATGCACTTCCTGTCTCAGGTCCCGCACCAGGACATGTGCTTCCTGTCTCAGGCCACACCTCGGGACATGCACATCCTATCTCAGTCCCCCCATCCAACACACACTTTCTGTCTCAGTCCCCCGGGATATGCGCTTTCTGTCTCAGTCCCCCGGGACATGCACTTCCTTCCTGTCTCAGTCCACACAGGGACATGTGCTTCCTGTCTCAGTCTCCTAGGACATGTGTTGCCTGTCTCAGTGCCCTGGGACATGTGAGTGCTGTCTCAGTCCCCCAGGACAGACGCTTCCTGTCTGAGTCCTGCACTTCCTGTCTCAGGCCCCAAGGACATGCACTTCCTGTCTTATTCCCAGGGACATGCACTTTCTTTCCCCGCCCCTTCCTGACAATCACAAAAACTCCGCCCTCCCCTTCATCCTGGACATTCAGCGCCCCCATCCTGTACTCTAGCTCCTCCACCATCCTGTCAATCATCCAGACTCCGCCTTCCCGCAATCCTAGCCAATCCCCGTCCCTGTCTAGCACCTTAGCTCCGCCCCCGCCCTGTCAATCACATAGGCTTCGCTCCCACCCGGCAGTCTCCTCAGTCTCCGCCCCGGTCCCTTCATTTGGGCCCACGGCCCGTCTCTCGCTCCTGATGGGCCCATTCCGCCCTGAACCGGTTGAAACCGTCCCGGGGCGACTTCCGGGTCCGCCACTCACCGGCGCGGGCTCAGCCTCCGTCCCCGGCCGCCGCGGCCTCCGCCCTCCGCGCCCGCTGTCTCAGCCGCACAGTCCGCGACGCTGCCTGGCAGACGCCCGACCTCGGGTGACGCACTTCCGCTTCCGGACGCGCGAAAAAACTACCCTCGGCTGAGGGACGCGTTTCCGCTTCTGGCCGCGGTCCGACGCCCATGCGATTCGAGGGCGCTTCCGCCGGATGTTCAGCGTCCGGTGACGCTTTTGCGCTTTCGTTCCGCGGCGATTGGGGGCTGAACCGGTCGTCGCGGAAAGCCCCACGCGTGCAGTGATTTCCGAAAAGGGAGGAAGAAACCGGTTATAGAGCTGATGACCTCGCGGCGGGGGCGGCGGCGGCCGATTGGGTCTCCCGCCTGCCGATTTTACTCTGGCGGCGGGACTTCCGGCGCGGACGAACAGCCCGGAAACAGCGGCTTTGTTCCCAGGTCAGACTCCGAGCCTCTTCGGAGATCGTGGGACTGGGAACCGTTTTCGGTTTTCCAGGGCGGGACTTCCGCCACCCTCACCTGCCTGTTAAACTGACCGTGCGCTTGCTGTTCATTAATGGAGATTGCGGAACCCGCACCCTCTAACCCGGAAACGTTCCTCATGACAGGAAGTTTCTTGTGATGGCAGCCGCCATGTCTTTACTGTAGTCTACACCTGCATGGCAGCGGCAGAGCACAGTATGTGGATCTGCCCCCTCTGACCCGGAAGCTCCATCTCCGAACCGGAAAAGGCATGATGGGTGCCGCCATGTCTTTACAGTAATCTCCGCCTGTACGGCAGCGCCCGAGGAACGGATCGGGAACTGCCCCTCTGACCCGGAAGCTCCCTCTCCGGACAGGAAGCTTACGTACGGCGCAGCCATGTCTTCACAGGAGTCACCGCCTGTAAGGTAGCGTCCGAGAGAGCGATCGGGAACCGCGCCCTCTGATCCGGAAGCGCCCTCTCCGCACCGGAAGTTCTCTCATGGGGGCCGCCATTTTTTCTTGCAGTCCTCAAGCGTACGATAGCGGCCGACGGAGAGCGAATGGGAGCCGCGACCTCAGACCCGGAAGCTTCCTCTTCGAAGTGGAAGTTTCCTGATGGGGGCCGCCATGTTTTCCAGCTGTCTTCTCCCGTACGACAGTGTCCAAATGGGGGCCGCCATGTCTTCCCAACAGTATCCGTTCCTATGGCAGTTTCCGAGGGAGGGAACTGTACCGAGACCTCTCATCCGGAAGCTCCCGCCACGCACCTGAAGTGCCCCAGAGGTCCCGCCATGGCGCTGACCCCAGTGCTCCGGCGGCTCCGCGGGCTGCGGGTGGTCCTGGCGAGCGCGTCCCCGAGGAGGCGGGACATCCTGAGCTACACGGTGACTTCCAGGGCCTGCCCGCGATTGACAGACAGGACTGTGCGGGCCTGATGGACAGGAGGGACAGGGACGAGGTTGCTGTGTGATTGACAGGAGAGCTGGCGGGAACTGATTGACAGGAGGGGCGGGACCGGACCGTGATTGACAGGAGGGGCGGGGCCGGGGTGATTGACAGCTCTCCTCCCCCCAGGGCCTCCTGTTCTAGGTCATTCCCTCTGGGCTCACCAAGTCCATGGTCAAGGCGGGACCGGGGTGATTGACAGGAAGGGGGCGGGCTGTGATTGACAGGGGCCGGGATCAGGTCATGATTGACAGCTCCCTTTCCTCCCAGGGCCTCCGGTTCGAGGTCGTGCCCTCCCGGTTCTCAGAGACCCTGGACAAGGCCACCTTCCCGACCCCGCATGACTATGCCCAGGAGACCGCGAGGCAGAAGGCGCTGGAGGTGGCGCAGAGGCTGCGGGAGGTCAGTGGCAGCTGTCAGTCACCCTTGGCCCCGCCCACTCTGACTGTGGCTGTCTGTCATCCTTAGACCCTCCCACTTACCTGTCAGTCACCTTTGACATTGCCCCTACAATTATGGGTGTCAGTCATCCTTGGCCCCGCCCGCCCAACACTCACTGTAAGTCTCCCTGACCCCGCCCTCTCCTATCCTGGCTGTCAGTTACCCTTAGCCCCGCCCTCTCCTACCCCTGTTATCAGTCACCCTTGGCTTAGTCCCCTCCTGTTGGACTGTCAATCGTGCTGGCCAAGCCCCTGGTCACGCCCCTGACGTCACCCTCCCCCCCCCACAGAAAGACCAGCGGACCCCGGACATTGTCATAGGTGCCGACACTGTGGTGGTAAGGACATTAGCACATTAACCCTGCCCCTCCCACTCACGCCAGCCCCTCCCCCTCCCACGCATGCATGCACACATCAGCCCCGCCCCTCCCCCTCACCCCCCCTTCCCCCCCCACCCCCGTTTAGGCCATGGCAGGGCTGATCCTGGAGAAGCCACAGGACAAGGAGGATGCCTTCAGGATGCTGAGAAGGTGGGCTGGACCTGGAGACGGAGGGGCGGGGCCTGGGGACAGAGTGATGGGTCCTGGGAAGGGGCTTAGGAATGGAGGGGCGGAGCATTGGAGGGAGGGGGTGGGTCCTGTCAGGGAGGGATGGTGCCTGGGGAGGGAGGGACGTGTCCTGGTGATGGTGGAACCTAGTCTGAGAGGGAGGAGCTGGGCCTGGACACAGAGGGTGGGGCCTTAGTAAGCCAGAGGCGGGGCCTTGGTGGAGAAAGTGGCAGGATCCACAGAGGAGGCGGGGCCTCAGGAATAAGGGGCCGGTGGCCCAGGATGATTGACAGCCTGGGACTTAGGGGTGTGTCTGACCCCTGCTCCCAGTGTGATCCTGCTGACCCCACATTGACCTCACAGGCTGAGTGGGCAAGAGCACAGCGTCATCACGGGTGTGGCCATCGTCCGCTTCCCCCGGTGTAATCCCGGGGCCCAGCCCCCAGACCCAGAAGTGACGTCGTTCCATGAGGAGACGCGGGTGACATTCTCAGTGCTGACAGATGAGTTGCTGCGGGACTATGTGGACAGCGGGGAGCCCATGTGAGCGCTAGGGGTGGGGCCTGTGACGTCATTGCCCATCACGGGGCCTGTGGCATCATCTCTTGGGGCAGGTCCGGGCGTTGCCATCCCCAGATGTGACTAACTCCTACACTGCGTGCAAAACCCCGTACCCGGTGCCCGGCCTCAGGTCTCGGACAGGAAGTGGGACCCAGGAGTGGGTGTGCGTCCTGGCAGTGGGCATGTCCCTGATGTCTCACCGCCCTGCCCTCTCCTCCATGCAGGGACAAGGCGGGCGGGTATGCGCTGCAGGCGCTGGGTGCAATGCTGGTAGAGCACGCAGAGGGCGACTTCCTGGGCGCAGTGGGCTTCCCGCTCAACCGCTTCTGCCGGGAGCTGCAGGCTGTGCTGGGACCGGAAGTGACACCGCCTTTGTGTGGTGGGGCCGACCACGGGGACGGGTGCGTGTCAGTCATTCCCTGGTCTCTCCCCTTCTTGTCCTCCCTGGTTGTCAGTCATCCCCACTCCTGCCCTTTTCTGTCCTCTCCAGCTGTCAACCATCCACGTCCCACCCCTTCCTGTCCTCCCCGGCTGTCAGTCATCCCCGGTCCCACCTCTTCCCTTCTTCCATGGCTGTCTATCATCCCCATGTCTCACCTCTTCCTGTCCGATCCTCTGTCAGTCATCACATGTCCCACCCCTTCCTTTCTTCCCCGTCTGTCAGTGAATCCCCAATCCCGCCTCTACCTGTTCTCCCTGGCTGTTAGTCATCCCTGTGTCCCACCTCCTACCTTCTGCTGTCAATCAATCCCCAGTCCCGGCCCCTCCCCTCTCCAACTGTCAATCACCTCCCTGCCCCTCCTCCTTTCCAGACCCCGCCCACTTCCAGCCACAGAGAATCCTGGGATCGACCTCTGACCTCCCGCCCCCTATTTCTGGGGTCTCTCCTGTGACGTCATGATCTCTGTGACCCCACGACCTCTGACCCCAGGGGTCGCCATCAATAAAGACTCGTTCAGTGCTCGCTGTTGTTTCCTGCGATGCCCCACCCCCTGACCTCCTGACCAGTGTCCTGTAAGCGGATGTGAACCCCATGGTGTCCCGGGAATGGTGAATTCCCGGGCCTTACTTCTACTTCTGGTTCCTGTGGCGGCCATGAATATGTAAATGATCCCTGATTATTACGCAGCCCTTATGAATATGCTAATGACCAGGTCCCATCATGCAAATCATTTCAAGATTTGCATATGTGGTGATGAATATGTAAAACACGCTGAGGGCCCACAGGCTGGGGAATGCTTTCAGGATGCTCATGAATATGCAAGTCACCCCGAACTCATTATGCAACACTTATGAATATGTAAATCACCCTTGCCCCAAATTCTGCTGGCTAATAAATATGGAAATGACTTCAGTATTTCCGCCATCATGTATCAGGGCAACTCATGAATATGCAAATCACCTTCCATGTTCCCCCCCCAACCCTGATAACTAATGAATATGTAAATGACATTGATATCAAAGAAGAAGCCCCACTTCTGGTCACATGGAGTTTCCCATGTAATGTGCTCATGCATATGCAAATCACCTTCCCATCCCGGACCCACCTACTCATGCATATGCAAACCATTCCCTATTCTGGCCTTCATGTTCATGAATATGCAAATCGCACCCAGAGTCCATTTTGGCAAAACGGCTTCTAGTTGACTCATGAATATGCAAAACCCACTCTCAGCAACTAATGAATATGCAATTCAGCACAGTTCATGAGTATGCTAATGACACCCAGGTATCTAAGCCCCCTCCACTTCTTTTCATCCGACCCCTGAAATAGAAATTTCTCCTGACTATGACATCATGGATATGCAAATGAGCCTGGAGACTTGTAAATATGCAAATGAGCCATTAATACGTGAAGCATCCTCCCATGCTCAGATGAACCTTGGGACGGAAGGAAACAGCCCTTCCTGCGACCTTATGAATATGTAAATCAGCATCATGAATATGCAGGTGCTACACAACCTCTTTTGGTTGTCTGTTGATAGACCAGGGACCCAGCCCTGCCAAACACCTCAGGAATATGCAAATGAGCACTCGGGGACAGAAAAGATGAGGCTCATGGATATGTAAATGAGCAATATAAAACTCCTGACAAGGCTTATGAATTTGCAGATGAACACTACATACTACCAATGAGTATTACCAATCAGCAAAGGGTCCATAAAATTGCAAATAAGCGATGAATGGGGAGGGGCTTGAATGCCAGACCCGGACACGCCCATCACATATAGCTTATGAATATGCAAAGCAGCATGATTGATATGCAAATTCTACTCAGAAACCACTTATTTTGTGATTCCTGAGATTCATGTATACTGAAAACCACAGTAATCCAGCCAAATTAATGAATATGCAAATCAATTCTCTATCCCATTTCAACTGTTTTGTGAATATGCAAATAACCCCCCAAATACCTCACAACTATGTAAATTAGCTCAGTGACAGCTGATTCCAGACTACTCATGAACATGCAAACCACACAAGAGTATTATGTGGGGTAAACCCAGATTTCAAGAAGCACATGAATATGTGAATGAGTCTCGTGCATATACAAATCCAACCCGTTCCTGCTACACCCACTTCTTGTCATGTGACCTCAGGATGGAGGGAAATCCCCCCCCCATGGTGAAGAACTCATGTATATGCAAATCACTTCTTGTATCCCAGACCCGCTCATGAATATACAAATTCAACCATGTTGTGATATGCGTAGGATTATGGGGTCATGTATATGCAAATCATCCGTGTCACCCCTGATTCCAGACATTGGATTCCCGGGAGGTCACCAATATGCATATTTGGAGTCTGTGTAAACATTTAAAGATTGTCCTTTTGCTAACTGGAAGGCACGGGTAAGAGCTACCAGCTCAGCCTGTTGGTTAGTGGTATGGGTAGGGAGTGCCTGTGCCTCCATTATCTCAGTATCTGATACTATGGCATAGCCTGCTCTACAGGTTCCATCACATAAAAAGGAGCTGTCATCTGTGAACCAGGTATAGTGGCCTGGGACAATTTGCCCTCCTGTGTATGTGAGGGATGGGGTAGTAAATCCTCTAGGATCTCTATGCAGTAGTGAGATGGGGAATCATTAACATTAGGTTGATGTAGGAGATTTGAGATATTAAGGGGTGGGCAGCATTGGAAATTGAGTGTGACATGTTCTACTAGTGCCACCTGGAAGGAAAGAACTCGGGAAGGGGGTAGGGTTTGTGAGCCTTTGTAAGTTAAAAGGTAGGACAGATTATGGTGGGAGAAGACAGTGGTGGGTGACCCAAAGGTTACTTTTTTTGACTCACGAATAAGAAGCTCAGCAGCCGCTAAAACACATATGCAGGGTGCCCAGCCTCAAGTAGTGAGGTCCATCTTCTTTGACAGGTATGCTACAGGTGCAAAACAAGGTCCCAGTTGATGTCCTAGGACCCCAAGTGCATATCCCTCCTTCTCTGCTATATAAAGAGAAAAGGGGCGAGTTAAATCTGGAAGATGAAGAGCTGGGACCTGGATAAGGGCCTGCTGAAGTCTCTGAAAGGGTTTGGTAACAGGATGGGGAAGAGGCTCATGCAGAGAGCCGAGAGCTGCCTCATTTAAGGGGCGGGCGAGGAAAGAAAAAGAGGGGATCCAGGAACGTAGGAAGCCAGCTACTCCTAGGAATGATAAAACCTCTTCTTTGGTGGAAGGAACTGAAAGAGTGAATCTTTTTTTTTCTGTCTAGAGTAATAGACTTTTGGTTTGGGGTTATAGTTAATCCCAAATAAATGACCTGAGGGGTAGACAGTTGGGCCTTAGAAGGTAAGACTCTACAGCCCCTTTTGGACAGGAAATTTAAAAGAGTGGATGTATCAGTTTTGCTGATCTCCAATGATGGGCTGCAAAGTAAAATATCATCCACGTACTGTATGAGCTTAGATTTAGGGAGAGACAATGAGAGCAGGTCAGAAGCTAAAGCCTGGCCAAACAGGTGTGGGCCGTCCTGGAATTCCTCGGGAAGGACAGTCCAGGTGAGCTGTGTGCAGAAGTGAGTGTCAGGATCAGTCCAGGTGAAGGCAAAGATGTTTTGAGGTTGAGGGCTGAGAGGAATAGAGGGGAAAAAAGCATCCTTGAGGTCTAGAACTGAGAAGTGGGAGGCTCCTGGAGGAATATTGGATAAAAGTGTGTAAGGATTAGGCACGACAGGATGAAGAAGGACCACTGTGGAGTTAATGAGCCAGAGGTCTTGAACCAGACAATGGGTTCCATTAGATTTTTTAACAGCAGTATAGGGGTGTTAAAGGGAGAAGAGGTGGGGTGAAGTAGCTTTTTCCTTAAAAGGTCAGAAACAATAGGCTTAAGTCCCTTAAGGCTCTGGAGAGAGGGGGTACTGAGCTTGGGTAATGTACTTAGAGGGATCTTGTAATTGGATAAAAATAAGGGCATGGTGTTTAAAAAAAGAGGGGTTTTGGGTGTCCTAGACTTGGGAGGCTGGTAGAGAAAAAAACACATTAGGGTTGGGAGGCTAGGAGAAGGAGTGGAGCTACTGACGAGTCAGGGGTAAGGTGAATGAGAGCAAAGGAAATGGAAGCTCCTACCTTTACTAAAAAATCCCTTCCCATGAGAGGTACTGGGCAGATTGGCATAACTAAAAATGACTGAGTGAGAAAAATACCCCTAAACACACAGTTAAGTGGTAGGGACTGCCGAGGTAGATAAGACTGTCCCGCTACCCCGACAATAGGGAATCTAGAAGGAGAAGTAGGCCCCCAGAATTCCCTCAGTACCATGTATGTGGCTCCGGTGTCCAAGAGAAAGAAGATGGGCCATCCTGATACCATGATGAGTACCCATGGTTGGGAAAAGGAGCCTGGGCAGCCTCACTCATCTATGGTCAGACCTAGAAGGTCAACTTGGGAATTTTCTGGGTCTGATGTCTCCATGCCACTATGTGCATGAGGACAATCTACTGACCAATGACCTTCCCTATGATAACTCAGACAAGGTCTCATGGGACTAAGATGAGGATTAGGGCATGCTCAGGCCCGGTGACTGGTTTTACCACATTTGAAACATGGACCTGGCAGTTCTTGAGGCCCAGGGGGGCAAAGGAGCAGCATGGATGACACAGATCGGGAGGCCTGTCTCCTCAGCAGGTTGGGAGGCCGTGGCTACCATGTGACAATGATTGCGGGCTTTGTCACTTCTCGCATGGTACACCTTAAAAGCCAACTCTAGGACTTCTGCCTGCAGGGTCAAGGGATCTTTCTCCAATCGTCTAAGCTTAGACCTAATGTCTGAGTAGTGCTGCTTTAAAAAAATGGATCCATAGTTTCTGGATCTAAGTTACTATAATGTAACAAAGCTTTTGTGAGGTGTTCCAAAAATGTGGAAGAATTTTCCTTTGTATCCTGAATAATCTTTGAGAGCTTAGTATAGTTTACCAGCTTGAGGACACCCTTATGGAGACCTGCCAGGAGACAAGTTAAAAACCAGTCCCTAGCTAAAATCCCACCCAGAGTATTATAATCCCAGTGTGGCTCTTGCTCTGGGACCACATCTGCTCTGGGAGGGTGGGAGGCAAGAGTTTGGTGAATCTCGTCTGCATGTTGTCTGCCCTGCTCCCAAACTTGCCTGTGCTCTTCAGGAAGTAGGTTATTATATAGGATCATGTAGAAGTTATGAAAGGTGAGATTATAAGATTGGGTAAGATATTGGAATTGTTTTATGAAAGTGGTAGAATTAGACATATAGCAACCCAGTAATTTTTCTATATGGGAAAGCTCTGAGAGTGAAAAAGGAACATGTACCCGAATCAATCCATCTATGCCAGCCACCTTTCGCAATGGGAGAACTGTAGCAGGCTTGGTTTAGTAAGAGTTAGGTTCCATGGCTGCACAAGAGTGTGTTAGAGGAGGGGTAAATGTGGGTGCCAGAGCATGGCGGCTGCCGCGGTCATGCACTGGAGAGGAAGAATGATTTAGCAGGGCTGTTGGA